GCAGATGATACAACCTTGCTTGCTGAAAGTGAAGAAGACTTAAAACATTTACTGATGAAGATCAAAGAGCAGTGCCTTCGGTATGGATTACATCTCAATGTAAAAAAAAAACAAAAATCCTCACCACTGGACCAATAAACAACATTCTTATCAATGGAGAAAAGATTGAAGTTGTCAGAGACTTCATTTTTCTTGGACAAACTATCAACACTCATGGAAGCAGCAGCCAAGAAATCAAACAACATATTGCAAATCTGCTGCAAAAGATCTTTTTAAAGTGTTGAAGAGCAACGATGTCAGTTTGAGGATTAAGGTGTTCCTGACTCAAGCCATGGTATTTTCAATAATATCATATGCATAAGAAAGTTGGACAATGAATGTGGAAGACTAGAAGAATTGATGCATTTGAGTTACGGTGTTGAGAATATTAAAAGTGCCATGGGCTGCTAAAAGAACAAACAGATGGAAGAAGTTCAGCCAGAGTGCTCCTTGGAGGCCAGGATGGCCAGACTCCCTCTCTCATCATATATTGTTAGGAGGGAGCAGTCACTGGAGAAGGATATCATGTTTGGTAAGGTGGAGAGTCAGAGAAAAAGAGGAAGGCCCACAGCGAGATGGCTTGGTAAAGTGGCAGCATCAATGGGTTTAAGCATAGCAACAATTGTGAGGTTGGCCCAGGACCGGGCAGTGTTTCGTTCTGTTGTACAAAGGGTCACTATGAGTCGGTACTGATTTGATGGCACCTAACAACAACAACAACAACAGAAGCATGTGATATGGATATGACCATATGTGGTGTTGAGGGTTAATGCACTGGACTGCAAAATCTGTTTGAACCACAAGGTTGGCGGTTCAAGCTCACCAGTTGTTCCTTGGAAACCCTATACAGGATCACTATGGATCGGAACTGACTTGAAGACACTTAACAACAACATATCAAGGGTTGGGGCATCAACATTGCAGCTTCAAATTGGCTACTTTGATGGCCTTGCTGGAACCAGGCCCTTTGCGCTGGCTAGTCTCGTATGTTGTTTTTTTAATACAGCAAACTTGAACCCAGGTCTTCCAACCTCTGGATTAGGTGCATATATTTGTGAGTGTGTGTAACAGCAAGTGTGTGTCACACGAGTGTGTGACTCCTCATAGTATTTTTCTCATCCTTCCTCTCACCTTGAAATTGTTGTTGTTAAGTGTTATTGAGTAGGTTGTGAGTCATAGCCACCCTGTATAACATTTCCAAGGCTTTAAATCTCCGAGGATGCAGAAAGCCTCATTTTTCTCCTGTGGAGCAACTGGCAGGCTCAAACCATGGACCTTGTGGTCCGCAGTCCAGTGCTTATTGAATGGAGCCACCAATTACAAACTGCTAGACCACATCTGGCTTGTGGAATCCAAAATACTGGCCACAGCAGATGAGCTGAGGAGGGAGGAGAAGCAAGCTCTTGCTGCTGATTAACCCCGCTGCTGCTGCTGTGTGCCTTGGAGTCAGTTCCAACCCATAGCGACCCTGTACAGGGTTTCCGAGGCTATAAATCTTTATGGGAGCAGAACGCCTCATTTTTCTCCCATGGAACAGCTGGCAATTTCAAACTGCTGACCTTGCGGTTCAGTTCACAGCCCAATTCGTAGCCACTATGCTATCAGAGCTCCTGCTGATTAACCCTAACCACCTCTAATTGTTTGTTAAGTCAGGGATTTTCAGCTTCACCAATTCCCTTGAGCTGCTCTTCCTGAGCTGAGTTCAGTTTTAACTGGCGCAATGGGGACCTAACCAAACCCCAATGCCTTTCAGCTTTTACCAGAAGTGAAGCAAGAGGTAGAGAGTGGCTAGGCTGAAGGGAGAACTTCCTATCTGTGGGAATGACACCTCCTTATGAGGGTTATAAAAAGAGAGACCTGGAAATCTAGAGCTCTGTGTTTGTAGCCCAGGCTCCCAGCCCACTTCCCAGCACAACTTGCTCCCTGCATTGGCCAACGTCAGCATATAATAGGTAGGCTTGGGAGATCCATCACTGGAGCCGTTAAACAGAGGCAAGATGGCCTCCTATCAGGAATGCTTAGGCTGGGATTTTGTTGGGGATGGAGAATGGGTGTGGACAGGTTAATCTTGAATTCCTGTCAAGCTCTGTTTTCAAGAACACTGGGCTCAGAGGACTCAGGAGACCTGGGTTCTAATATTGACTATGTGTCCTTAGATGTATTTCTCCCTTTTTCTTTGCCTCAGGTTCCCCATATGTACAATGATAAGATTTAATGGTTTGTTTTTGTCTTAAAGCTGTGAGAATGCTCTTTTCCATGACATCTAACATGAAAGCTCATTACAAGTAAAATGAAGCCGCCCTGGCTGGCCAGGTAGTGGGACCAGACCCCGTGCCCACAAGCTTTCCTCTCCAACTCCACTGCAGCTCCGTGGATCTCACTGGGCACTGTTTCAATGCCACAGGAGTGGACAGTCCCAAGTCCCCCCGCTTTACTGTTCCTGCCTCACGATCTGAGCAGGGGAAGTCTTGTTGCCTACTGCCCAGTTGTGTGGGGTTCCCAGTCTACAGAAGAGAGGGATGCACTTGAGCCACCAGTAACAGGAGGAAGCCTGAACTCCACTGATAGCACTGGGCATGCTGGGCAGGGGTGACCGGCAGCAAGCATCACCATAGATAGCACACAACACTGGTGGTATGGTAAAGGCACAGCTTGATTCCCATGAGAGAGGGCTTAATCTAGAAAACAGTGAGTAATCTCAACAAATCAATCCACAAACAGGATCATCCACTGAGTAATCTACCAAACTGTAATAGATAAGAGTGGAAATCTGCAGCTGATCATCCCAGAAAAAAACCAAAAGGCCCTCTGGTCCCCAGGCAGCCCCCTCCCACCCTGTTGTTACTCACTCCGCCTCTGCCTCTTTCCCTTGATTCCCCGGTTGCTGGCGGTGAGATGCATCCAGCTCAGAACCAGGGCCACCACACACAGCCCAAGCCGCATAGTCACTTGCCAGCTCTGGGCCCCTGGGAGGAGGGGTGGTCTCTCGGGGGGGTGGACAGCGTAGGGCTCTTGCTAAAGCCTCCTGGGCTGGGTCAGCAGCAGGAGGCCCAGGCCTGGGCCAGATCCCAAATCCACCATAATCTCAGGGAGAAAAGGGGTGTCCTCTATCAGCTTTCCTCAAAGGCACCTCAGGGTGTCACATGGGAGAATGCCACTTTAGCAGCCACCACTCCGAAAACCAACCTATTGGGGGAAGAGAGAGAAGGGTTAAGTCTGTGGTACCATAAAGTCTCACCAACCTATGCTTCCAGTTCTCCCCTGGAGAGTGTGACAACTCAGAAGGTTTGGACATCACAAGTTACCTACCTGGTGTCCCTGCAGAAAGAAATCTGCACCTTTTCCTGTCTTGCACAATTCCCTAACCTGGGAGTGAAGCCATCCACCTGACCAGCTCAACATGGTGAACAGTCAAACCAAAATTTGTGAATCAGTGGTGAATTCTCAACAATGGGAATCAGCTAGCTGAACCAGTGCATAATATTGGCCACTGTAAACTGAGTTCATGAAATTCTGGTGTGGTGCTGCAGGTTAATGCTCTGGACTGCAAAGCTGGTTTGAACCACAAGGTCAGCAGTTTAAACTCACCAGCTGCTTCGTGGAAAACCTATACAGGGTCACTGTGAGCCAGAACCAACTTGACAGCACTTAACAACAATAACAAAGCTCATGTTGCAGTAAAATGTGATCTCTAAGAAGAGCTTTTTCAGGCCTTCTCTGAATGGCTTCCCAACCTTCTTTTTGAAATGCTAAGTCACCTTTGTACCTTTCACCTGTCCTGAAGCTAGAGCAGTGGCCCCTGGAAAGCTGGGAGACTCTGCGTGGCCCTCTGGGCTTGGCAGGAGCAAAGGAAGTAAGGCTTCCCCCAGCCACAGAAACTCTGATACAGCAGGCCTGACGGGCCAAGCCTTTGTGAGAGGATAAAAGAGGCAGTGATGCCCGCCCTGGTCAGAGACACAGAGAATGGGAATAATCCCCTAGCCCAGCAAGAGCCAGGTCTCTGGACCCGATGGCCAGGATGATGGGGACAGCGGGAGCTAGTCCCCCTACCCCCATAAGATGTGTCTGGGAAGTTGGACTTCGGAGCCTTGGAGCCCAACCTGAGAGTCAGGGTGAAAAACCCATTTTACACTCATCCAAACTCACAGGGCCATATATTTATGCTCTGATACCTCCAATGTACTTTCATAACAAATGTACCTTGTGATAGTGGAGGCCTAGCCATGCATTGCCTCGTACACTTTCACTCACATCCCAAGTCCACACAAGTACATGAGGCATCCCATGGGTAAACAGTGACCCTTCAGATCTGCAGCTCCAAAACCTACAGGGAAGTATCTACTAGTTGGGTGATTTTGAACTTGTCATTTAACTTCTCTGAGCCTCAGTGTGCTCATCTATAAAATGGGGATACATATGCAAATTTCACAGGATTGCTCTGAATCTGATAAGGAAAAATCTGAAACGTTGGTGTGCAGGTGCCTCATCCACTCCTGTCTGCACCTTTTCCCCTCTGTGTTCCCTAAGACCCAGCCTACCCCCTCACCTCTTAGCCTCGCCCCAGTCAAGCCCACCTGCAATGGAGATAAATCATTATCCCACAGGGGAGTTCAGTACCTCCCTCCTCAGCCTCTCCCACCAGCTTTGAAGGCCAGACACACTCAAGTGGTTAAGCTGCCTGTGAGAAGTGTTTACACAAGACTGATGGATCCCACCTGGCGCTGTGGCTGGAGCCAGTGGAGATGCCCCCAGCCATCCCCAAATGCCCCATCAGCTGCCAGCCCCTACACACCCCTCCAGAACTCCCAGCATGACCCACCAAAGTTTTTCATGGTCCCCAGCCCCCAACATACTTTCATCACCCACAAATTGTGAACATCCAGCCAAGTTTCTTATACTGGGATCTTTGTCCCCCAAAAGTTGTCTCAAGTGGTAGTTAAGGGCATAAACGTCAGGGACAGAGTACCTGGCTTAGAATGTTGCCTCTGCTACTTATTAGCTGTATTTTCTATGATCAAGACTTCATTTTTTGTCTACATTCCAACGGTCATCTAAAAGCAATATAAACATTTTCCGCGTCATCTGGTTACTAATCTTAATACAGAGAACTGTTATGCAATTTCCATATTTGAATTTATCTTTATAATTACTGTCTTGCCACTCATGTGATCACTCAAAATGACCAGGGCTTGCCTTTAAATGAAGTGCTTCTCAAACTTAGACCCCTGGAAGATTTATTCTGAGGGGTCTGAGAGTCCTTGCTTTTGACCAACACTGGAAAAGAAAGCCCACCAGGTAAACCTGGTACCAAATCCTAAGATTGTGAGACTTTGGTCTCATCATGTCATCTGTTTTCCTGGCCGCCCCCCACCCCCACCCCGGGGGGGGGGCAGGAAAAGTATCCTATTCATCTTGGCCCCCTCCATGCCCATTGGACAAGGTGCCTGACAAGTCTGGGTTGGTGCTCAGCCAACGTTAGCTCCCTCTTTCCCCCACCCTGCCCACAACTCTCCCAGTTCCTAGCTTTCAGCACTGCCCACATTTCAGTTGGTCCTTGCCAGCAAAGATCTGACCTACCCCCACCTGAATCTCTAAGGAATCACAATCTCAGCTAGAAACTGGGAAGGAGGATCCCTTACCGGTGGGAAGGGAAGTTTCAAACACTTAGGAAAGAAATTATATATGATCAACCCTGAAAAGGTGCTAAGGATTCATCACTATGGGGGTGGTACCAGGACCTCTGGTAGCACAGTGGTTACCAATTGGGCTGCTAAGCCCAGGGTCAGCAGTTCGAAACTACCAGCTGTTTCGCCGGCGAAAGATGAGGCTTTCTGCTTCCGTAAAGATTTACAGCTTCAGAAACTCTGTATAGGGTCACTATGAGCTGGCACCCGCTCCATGGCACATGACAACAACAACAACATATCTGAGTGAATCTGGATGCAAAAGGGGCAAACTGGAAGGCAAATGGCCCACCTAAGGGGGGCATATGTATTCAACTCCAGCTGGTTGTTGATAAGCAGGGGGGGACCAATGGCTTCATACTGCTAGATCGTCTGAGTTTTTCAAAAGAAAACCTGTAAATTCAGAATTTTAAGGGAAATCTGATTTTAAATGCTGGGCAGGTCTCTGACTAGGAACCCCAAAGTACCAAGCCCCAGGGGCTCCACCTCCCTTGTTAGTCACTGCCCCCACCCCCACATTGGATTAGAGCTGAGAGAAGGGCTAGGCGAGGATACCTTTCTTTTAAATGACTGGGTAGTGCAGTGGATTTCCAGCCTTGGAAACCCCATACAGGGTCGCTATGAGTCGGAACCAACTAAACGGCACACAACACCACCACCTATTTGATTTCCTTCGGCCTGCTGGTGTCTCTGCACAGATAAGAGCTGCGAACTGCTGCTAGTGACCAAGGATGGAGGCAGAGACAGGGACTCACATTCATTAGGTGCCTCACCCCCAATTGCTAGGTGCTAGCCCGTTGTTTACTCATCCCCTCATCCCAGCTCTAGGAGAAAGGTAGAATCATTCCCATTTTACAGACAGAGAGATCTGGTGGTGGGAGGACTAGGATCTTGGGGTTACAGACCTAGTCAGTGGCCAGTGGGTTTGCTCCCCAGGACTCGCTCTCTGGAGAGTAGGGCAAAAAGGCGAGGAGTTTGGGGTTTGGGGCCTGACCAGCCTAAGGGAAGGATCCCGTGGGGGTGGGGAAAGAGTGGTGCAGAGGCCGAGCTGGAGAAGGAGACCAAGGAGGAGGCCCCACAAGCTAGGTGGTCGGAGGAGGGGAGGAAGGGAGGGCACACGAAGGGCGCCAGACACAGCGGGGGGTGAAGTTGAGGGCAGGGCCTCAGTCCCTGCAGAGGGCTGGAGTAACTTTCACCTCTGGCCCACAACACTATCAGGATAAATTGATGTTTCATCCTAAGCCAGATACAGACCTGAAAATGTAAACCATAAGGAAAAATTCTCATTAGCCCTTCCCCGGACGGCTATGGGTTAGAGAGTTTTGGCCGCCAAACGGGCTGGTGGGCGGGGGCAGTATTGCCTCGAGGGGGCGGGATCAAGTCTGCGCCGGCTTGACCTGTGGGGATTAGAGTGTCCGCCAGAGCCAAACCAGGTGCTGGGGCTCCCCCCCCTCCCCAACACCAAGGGCAGTGGGGAAAGAAAGACTTCTTCAGTCACCTCCCTGATCGCGCAAATTCTTCTTCCCTCCCCACTAACCTGGAGAGGCCCAACAGGTGCCGGGGAGGGGAGGAGGACTTCTCAAGATCCAAGAGAGAGAGAGACCCCCAACTCACGAGGGGACCCCCTGGCCCAAGCGCCCACACCCAGCATCTTTCTTTACCCTCTAAAATTAGTCTACGAGCCCCGGCCCAGCGGAGCACCCACCACGCCTCAACCAAGCAGTACCATAGGTTTCGGAGCTCCCTGGCCCGGGGAGCCGCGCCACCTCGCTGAGCACTCGGGGCTACCGCGCACGCCTCCTGCCACGTCGGACCGTGACCCGGGGTGCAAGACTGGGATGAGGGAACCAGGGGTCGGGGAATCCAGTGTTTGGCACCATGGATCAAGAGCTTCTGAGATGGGAGCAGGGTGAATAGGGCTGGTGGATTTGGGAACTCAGAGCTGCGAGTGAGGACTAAAGCCTGAGACTGCGGGTCAGCGGGGACCCACGGCAGCAATGGGACCCGTTGGCTTGAGGAATGATGGGGGCGGCAGGAGGGGTGGAGGTCCGGGAGATGCCCTCTCCCGCCTTCTCAGACCCGAACACAGTTGGACACCTTTTTTCCCCTCGCTGTCTTCCCCCTGCACCCGGCTCGGTCAAGCCCCGACGGAAGGGCCCGAGACACCTCAGGTATCGGGAAAGGGGGCGCTCGGGAGGAGAACGAGGCAGAGAGGAGGGGACTCACCTCGGTTCTGCCAGCCGCGGAAGGAGCAGGCCC